GCTAGGGCGTGTACATCGTGCCTGACGATAAGCGCACTTTCCTGCTCGACTGCATCCGCTCGGCTCTGGGAAAACGGCGCATCAAGGCGAGAAAATTGGCCTCCATAAAAGGGCAGCTTCTGTCCATGTCCTGGGCGTTCGGGCAAGTAGCCCGCCTTTACACCCGGGCTCTGGGGCAGGATATTGAGTCGCGCCACACCTGGGATACCCACATCCGCTTATCTAACGACGCAACTGCAGAGCTCGAATTCTGGCTGCGCTGTTTCGACCGGTTTAACGGAACCCGTGCCCTCTGGGAGCCCACACAGGTGCACTCGGTCGTTTTCTGCGATGCAGCCGGGAAATCCCCCAAGCACCTCGGGGGTTGGGGTGCCTGGACGCTGATCGACGGGAAGTTGGCCCAAGCCCGCGGTAATTGTGGAGAAAGGGTCAGTTCGATGGGGTCAACGCCCCAGGAGCTCCAGGCAGTCCTACACGCACTTCAATCCTTCAACGGTCCTGCAGGCCTACGACATCAAGTCGTCCGGGTGATTACTGACAATCTCAATTGCGCCAACGTCCTCAACAAAGGGTCCGCAAAAGCCGAGGACTCGTACCGGATTGCCTGCGAAATCTTTTGGTACTGTATTGCCGAGGGTATCACACTGCAGGCGGAGTGGCGGCCGCGAGAAGAAAACACTCTGGCGGACTACCTCTCAAAGCTGCAGGACCGGGACGACTGGATGGTGAACCGTAAGGAATTTCAGAGGCTCAACACCGCCTGGGGTCCCTTTGACATTGATCTTTTCGCGTCACACACCAATCACCAGCTGCCACAATACTATTCCCGTTTTTTCACGCCAGATACCGCGGGTGTAGATGCCTTTCGGTTCCGCTGGGGGCGGAATTGCTGGGCGAACCCGCCTTTCTGTTTGCTACTTAAGGTCCTGCGGCACGCAGAGCTGTGCAAAGCACGCATCTGTCTGATCGTTCCCCTCTGGCCGACGCGCGACTGGTGGTCCTATCTGACTCAAGACGGGAAGTGGTTTGCGCCTTGCGTCCACGGCCTAAGAGAGCTGGGCAAGGCGTATGATCTTTTCCTGCCAGGGTCTTCGGGAAACGAGGTCCCAAAAGGGTCCGCTAACTGGCTATCGCTCGCACTTCTCATCGATTTCCAAACACCTTCCCCGCGCCGGATCGCTGTGCCCCCCGACCCTTATGCCCCCCGGTTTTCACAGGAATAAGGGCACGCGCGCAGACACTGCTTGGCCAGGTGCCCTTGGACGCTAACCCAATGATCGGGGATCTAGCTCTGGCGTTGGCAAGCCAGGCGCACAAGGCGCGAGCTAGCAGCACAGTCGCCCAGTACAAGGAGCCATGGCAGGAGTTCCTAGATTGGGCAGAGCTACTACACATTCGGGCGAGCGACATCTACGACATCAGGCCAGAGATAGTGGCCATGTACCTGATGCACGTCTACCAAACCGTGCAAGCGGATGAAGTAGGTCCGGGTCGCGTCGCGGGAGCGAGCGCCACTATTGCCTGCCATTTCTTTCTCGCGGGCCGCCCCTCACCAACGGAGCACCCAGCATGCAACCTCGTTCGGGACCTGGGCAGGCGCACACTGCAAGGGAAGAAGCTGCACAGGGAAAGCATGCAACCAGAGCATGTCCGCATGTTGGCCGCTCACTTCGCTGGGCCGGATGCCTCACTGCCAGACCTGATGATGGTAGCGGCCATATCGGTTATGTTCGCGGGTTTCCTGAGGTTCAACGACCTAGCCCACATCTCCGTCAAGTCTGATCTGCTCACCCTGCACGACACTCACATGGCCATCACACTGCCTAGGTCCAAAACGGACCAGGAGGGCAAAGGGCAGACCATCCGGATTGCGCGCGTGGGGGGCGTGGCCTGCCCAGTGGGCTTGACAGAGAGGCTGCTGGCGCTTGGTAACTATGTCCGTGTCCCCAGTTCCCCCGTGGAGGATGTGGGTCCGCTGCTGCGCAGGGTTAAGGCGACACAGCAAGGCCACCAGCTGCAGCAGAGGACCGGCTCTGTTCAGTCACCGATCCCCAGCCTCAGCTATACCTCCTTCCGGGAGAAGCTCGCTGCCATGTGCAGCGCCGTGGGCATCAAGCGCGGCATCATGCCACACTCCATGCGCATCGGGGGAAACAGCGCGGCAGCAGCCAGAGGGGTATCTGAAGAAGCCCGCAGGCCCACGGTCGCTGGAAGACGGACGCAATGGTGCAGCTATATACCCGGCTGGGAGACGATGCCGCACTGGAAAACACGCGCAACCTGGGCCTCGCCTGAGTCAGAGGGCCCCTCTTGCTATCTTTTCGGTCTGCAGTAGTGTAAGGCCTTTGGCAACCCCGGTTTCGCCTCGCCCTGTCCTATCCGGCACCCGAACGCAACCGTACAGCAAGCCATGAAGGCTATAGGACATAATTGTAGCTTAGATGCGGCAGGAGCAAAGCGAGTATAGCCTCTAAGCTAGGTTATGTACGGCAGCCGTATGGCTTGCTGAGAATTCGAATTTACTATTTCAGCTGACAGCTCCAAAGTTCCGGCATTCTGCCTACACTATTGGAGCTTATTATTATTGTTGCTCTCACTTCCCCCCCCCCCCGCCCTCAGTGTCCCTCGTTTATAAGCGGCAGGCTCGGCCCAGTTGGAGACCGGTGATTAGGCAGTCCCCTCGGAGCGCCAGACGCACAGCTGTACAGCGATTACCGCACGGCAAATAAGTGCCTATAGAGTATCGTTGCGCGCTAGGAATGTCGCCTGGCCAGCCCTGCTGGCCAGGGTGTGGTTCGTGCGTCGCTGACGCTTCAGGTTTGCCCTCGGGGCGGGTGACCAGTGGACGCAGTCATTAATGCTGCGTTTAGTTGTCTAGTGCCGTGCGTCAGTTTCTTTCGGCCGTGCCGGTGTGGCCGCGCTGGACAGCGCTGCGTGCGCTCAGACCGCGCCGTGTGGCGCTAGACCGCGCTTCGGCGCACACGCGCCCTGGCGCTCCGAGAGCAGCAATTAGTACTCTGCAGTAGTGTAAGGCCCTTGGCAGCCCCGGTTTCGCCTCGCCCTGTCCTATCCGGCACCCCGAACGCAACCGTACAGCAAGCCATGAAGGCTATAGGACATAACTCGTCATATCTGTGTCGATTTGTCTTCCTGTAAATGCGGCACCGCGCCCACCGTCTGACATCTTGAGGCAAACGCTTGGGAAACGGATATGCAGTTGATCCGGCTCTGCACGGAGATCATAACAAAGAGAAAGGGGTTACAAGGAGGAACGCGGAGAAACGGTCGATGCTCTGTTTGTAGGGTTGTCGTGAGATACGCCAACGGGTAATCTATCACTCCACTTGCTTTAGCGTTCGTCCGGCGAGGAAAAAAGTTGAACTTGAACTCATGGGGCCATCGGGGCCATCGCGGACGGGGCCATCGCGGATCGCCAGTCGGCGAATGTATATCATTCACGAGCTACGGCCACGACGGTCCTTCCTATGCCTTCAAGCAACAAATGGTCGCTTCTGTTAAGCATAATCCTAAAATGTTTGTGCATGAGCTGTGACGCTGTGTGGTTACAGGAATGCGTCGAACTGTCAGCAAGCATTCTAAGTTGCGAAGCTTTTGCAAATTGACATGCACAAGGAAAGGAGGCAAAGCCGGCTTTCTGCATACCGTGCAACTGGCACAAACGGCCATCAGATCGAGTCGCGCTATGCTTAATACTATGTTTGCATATGCCTGGGTTATCATCTGTCCTACGACGAAAAAATGCACCATGATGACTTCCAAATGCCGTTGTCACATCCAAGCCACCAAACGTGCCACAAAAGCAGCATAAGCATGCCACAAAGCAGCTGCCTCTAATATAACAGTCATCGGCGCCATCCAATCCCAACGTTCTTAATTATAGAGGGATGCGGAGGTTTCGTAAAGACCACCGCAGGAACAATTACCACAAAACCGTACGAGCAGTACGAAAGCAGCTCTTGGACATTCTCGAGTAACGTTCATTAGCTTCGCGTCGAGAGTACAGAGGGGGCTTGCTGCCTAGCTTAAGGGTCACGCGTTTCCATGCCGATAGTGAGACATATCGCTTCCTCTTTAGAGTTTTCTCTGTCATGTAACCTATATGAAGTGCATCAGGAGTAAATTAGTATAGGAGGACCTCGATTTTTACACTTTGTTCGATTGTGCAAGCCGAGTACTGCATTCGGGCTGAGGGGCTGACAAGCAAGGCAAAGAATATACTGAAACACGGGACATATTTGCGGTTCTGCCGAACAGCTCTTGCTCTTGCTGCTTAGGCTTAGGGCCAGGACGCAATGCGAACATGGTTTCCTTGCTTTACACATTGCTGCCACACGCCTCGGCACGACGGTGAAAAGCAGCAAGTGTCTGTGCTCGTATCGACTGTACCGAATAAAATTTCGCTTCCTGCACCTGTCTTGGACGCACCTGTGAAGGATGACATTGCCGTTCAGGTGTCACAAAGCGTGCACAGCCTGTCGCTGGTGAGGAAATGGCAAAAAGGCTCCCCTCTCGTAAAAAATCATCGCTACTCATAGCTACATACCTGCTTGCGTGTCTGTCGCCATACATTACTCACAATCCCCCTCACTAAGGCCGGCCTTTCTTAACGCGACGACGAGCAACATAATGCGTCCGCGAGCCGTCCCGGGCCCCCTGGATCATCCCTTTACACAGAGACTCCACGAGGCCACAGCGTATACACACACGTGTTTTTCACCGCCCACCTCCTAGGTGCATGTCAGTGGTTTCGCAACCCCAACCCGCAACCTCTCCCCCCACACGCATACTCGTAGATCCACCCGGAGGGGGTTCATCCTCCTTCGCTGCCCCCAAACCATTTTGCTATTTTCCACTTCAACACTCCAACGCCGTGTGTGCGCGCCCCAACAGGCTCCACGGGCTGCCTGCGTTTCCCTTTTGACACGGTGTTTTGTTGCCCCGGCCGGGGGTTGCTGCTTCCCGGCGAGTCCCGTTCCGCGCTTAATGTGTTTTCCCAAACTTACCTCCCCCCTTCCCACACACACAGACTCCCCCGGGGACTGCTTGCCTGCCAATTTTCTTCCCCCCATCGCCTTCACTTAACTCCCCCATCCCCCATGTGCCCCTCCCTCGCTGTTTCTGGCGCCATTGCTACTGCTGTTGTTGCTACTACTGCTCTTGTTGATGCTACTGCTGCCTTTGTTTTCGTTTCCACGCTTTGCAGCTTGGGGACGTGCTGCGGGCATGTAGCGGAATACCCGGCAGCAGCTACCACCAACTCCGTCGCATTTGCAACATATTGGCGGAGCATTTTGGAGTGCCGTACGTCAGGTATAGGATGAAAATACATGTGAAATGGCTTGGCGGTGGCGGTGGCGGTGGCGGTGGCTTCGTAACGAAGAAATTTTTACCTGAGCTAGCCTAACGTCATACCCCGTACCCCCTACGTCAGCATCCCGGCCCCATGTTTCCAGCTCTACCCCCCTACTGCCCGCCCCCTCTGGCCCCGCCCCTGCCTCGTTGCTACAGCGCCTCCGTGCTATCGTCCACGGGTATCACCTACCTGCCCATTGCGGCGGGGGGGAGACTGGCCAGGCTGTGCCCCGTCGGTCTGCCGCACTTCCTGGACGCCTCCAACGGTTCGTCGTTCTACCAGGTGGCGGGACAGCAGGTGCGTGTGTGCGTGCGTGTGTGTATGCGCGCGTGTGTGTAGGGTTGTATGTGTGTATAGGGGTGTATGTGTGTGGAATGGAGCAATGCGTGCATCCCTTGGGGGCCCCCATGCACCCCCATCTGCGTCTCCATCTCCGCACCCTCATTCCCCAACCCACAACCCCACCTGCCTGGAGTGCCTACCGTGTGGCTGGTCCGCTGCCTCCCATCTCCCGCAACAACTCCCTCCCCTCCTCAACGAGAGAGTTGACCCTCTTTTTAATGTCGACTGGCGGATCCTCCCCCCTCCACACCCACACCCACACACTCACATACTCTCTTGCTCCCACTCATACTCTCCCCCGCCTAAACCCCCCTCCCCTCATTCCTAACAGCGCTTCCTGAGCAGGCGGGCCCTGGAAGAGCCGCTTCCCACGGACTGGGAGGCGCTGCGGGAGGCTGCGGGGCTGACGGCCTTCATAGCCGCAGCCATCACAGTGGGCTGCGAAAACGTGGCGGTGCTATCTCTGGCGCACGAGGACCCTGACAAGTTTGACTCGCCCATGTGCGTCTAGGGCTTTAGGGTTTTTAGGGTTTTAGGGTTTGGGTTTCGGAGAGAGGGCTGGGTTTTGGGTGGTTGGATGGCGGTTGGATGGCGGTTGGAGGTCCAGGGTTCCTCGCACCTCTCCTGAGCCCTTTCCTTCTCAGACCGCGGCCCCGTTTCGCACCCGCCAGTTCCTTCTCCCCCTCGCACCCAACCCCACCGCCTCCGATAGCACTTCCCCCCGCGTTGTTGATATCCTATTTAAGCACAGGTGGCAGACCTCCATGGAGTTGCTGGGTGCCTATTTAGGACACCTGTTTCGAGATCGGCAGCTGGTGGGGTACTGTGGAGTGGTGGAGGAGCTCATGGTGGTAGACTCGCTGGATGACCTCATCAGAACACTCAGCAGATGCGTTGTGAGATTGCAAAGCGGTGAGAGCTTTAGGCGGGTAGGATGGCAGCGAGGGCAAGAATATGAGAAGTGCTACGATTTAGGAACTCTTCTTTTATTCAAGAAAAAGTTATAATTAAAATAAATAATTGAAATCTTGATTAATAAAAATGTTAAAAATTGTAAAACAAATCACTGCCTGCAGAGAAGATTCACCAAATGCGGCTCACTTGCCGCATCGCCTGCATCGCTTCGGACGCCTCATCCGCCATTATTTTCGACGAAGCGCTGCCGTACGCTTCTGTCATGGCGTCGGCGATGGATGATTGCGCGCTTCCGCCGTCTGCCGCCGCCGCCTCCTTTGCTCGGGGCTCCCATCCCCCGGGGCCCTTGTCCGGTGTCCAAGATGGCAATGGTTTCGGGGCGGCTTCGGCTGCTGCTGCTGCTGCTGCTGGGGACGTGTGCCCCGGCTCCCAGCTTTATTCCCCTCAAATCTCAGCATTACAGAACCACCCGTTACAACTTCAACAACAGCAGCAGCTACAGCAGCTACATTCCGGGCTGACGGGAAGCAGTCCGAGTGTACAGCGGGGCAGGTTGGTGGCGGGGTGCGAGGCGGGGTGTGGGTGGTTTTATGATCTGGGAGTGGAGGCCGGAACTGCCGCAGCCGCGTGCGTGCACAGATGGTCAGTGCAGGGTCTGATTAGGCAAGGGGGTTGATTAAACTAATAAGTGTTGATGAAGTAAAGGGTTAGGGTTTTAGGGTTGCTAATGGCGGGTCTTAGGGTAGCTGTGGGGCGGGTAGGTGTTTACGGTTCTGTGGGTTTATGTAAAAATCGATAGAGCGGTGCGGATCTTGTGCATTGGAGGTTTTATGACAGCCTTTAGTGCATTTGTTTGAAGATGTGAGGCCGAGGGTGATGGGTTTTGGGGTTTTAGGGTGTGTGTACGTGATGGCGGTGTGGATGCATGCATGCGCCCGTGTCTGCGAGGAGGGCGTTACGGCCAGAGGTCAACATATGGTCGCATTGCTGCAACAGGCAAATTAGTCCGTAAATCAGCCCGTATCGTGTATATGTAATATATATACACACGTCTAATTATTACATTATACATTACATAACCATAGCACCATATATACATAGCCATGGTCGTGGAAGAGAAGACTTCTCACCTTCTGAATGTTTATGTGTTAAAATGTACATGTCTCTCCATGTTTTCAGAGACTGTGATGATTTGGGTTCCTGTCACTTTGCCTTTACATATTTCCCATCCTATGTTTGCAAGATTTATATGCATATGTTCAGCACGAATGCGGGGGTGTCCGATAATGCCTCTGAGGGGGGCATATGTGGAGTTGGTTTTGCCGTACGTCGTGAAGGTCCCCAGGTAGACCTTCTGTTCCTGCCCCCTCTAGGATTCCCCCTCATCCAGTCCTCCTCACCCGGACATCGGTAGTACAGACAGAGCGGCCCCCCCCTTCCCCCCCCGAGCAATCGCCGCGCAGCCAGCGGCCCAGCCAGCTCGTTGCAGAGCCAGGTCCCTCCACTGCGACCCTGACCTCACCTCCGCACCCCAGCAGCTAGCCGTAACACTTCTCTCACGCTCCCGGCCGGCGCCGCGGCGGGATTCTACCTAGGATTGGAACCCGGGGCACGGGGTTATACCACTACCACTACCACTACCACTACCACTACCACTACCACTACCACTACCACTACCACTACCACTACCACTACCACTACCACTACCACTACCACTACCACTACCACTACCACTACCACTACCACTACCACTACCACTACCACTACCACTACCACTACTACTACTACTACTACTACTACTACTACTACTACTACTACTACTACTACCACCACCACTACTACTACCACTACCACTACCACTACCACTACCACTACCACTACCACTACCACTACCACTACCACTACCACTACCACTACCACTACCACTACCACTACCACTACCACTACCACTACCACTACCACTACCACTACCACTACTACTAAATGCAGTGCTGTCCTACGCCCTAATACGTCCGCGCTCCTTCCCCATTTTCGGTGCCATATCAAGATCGTCTTCCCTATCTCTCTCTTTTTTTTCCAACACCCGCTAAAGCACATTTGTCCAAGGGGGGATCGGAATAGCCGATAAAACTTACAGTGTATAAATAGCGCAAATAACCGTGAAAGGAAATCCGTGTCGTAACGGCCCGTCCCCCCCTTCCCCCTCTCTCTCAGGTTCGCCCGTATGTCAGCGGTATCCCCCGGCTCGAACCACGACCCCTACCTCGCCTCACTCATCCAGCAGTACCAAGTTCAAATGCACTCGGTTGCGAACCTCGTGCCCGACCTGACTTCCGAGTCGGGACCAGGACTGCCTCCGCCACCGCCACCACCGCCACCACCATCGGCGCATCTGCTACAGCCGCAACAGCGGTACGGCGTCGCCGGCATGCCGTCATCAAGCGCTCATTTTCCGCCGCTACAGCCGTCACCGCGACAACCCAGTGCCGCCGGGTTGCTAGGCGGTGGCGTGGCGGCGGCGGCGGCGGCGGGGGTGACAGCCGCTGCCAGCACGGGGCCCGCGGGGTCGCCGGCAGCGGCGGGCGGCGGCGGCGGTGAGCGTTTCGTCGGCGGCGGATCGAGCTTGTCGCAGCCGGGGCTGTACGGCG